GCGACAAGGTTTTGTCATCATCACCTGATAATGACAAAACCTTGTCGAAACGTTGTACATTTTCTGTTATGTTAAACTTATATTAAAGTTTTTCTTCATTACCCATTCAAGCCGTCTCCAACCATTAATGACATTTTGAAAGTAAAAATATAATAAGAGAGAGATAGAATGCTTCTATAGATTGTGCAAAAATAGACCACCACAAGTATCGAAATCCAATTTTCAGCGTCACATATCTTTACCATTGAGCCATTGGGAGGGGACGTCTACAAAACAGAGAGATATAAATTTACCTCAGGTACCGTGTAAACTTCAGTGTAAATATATTACATGGGTAAAATGATCAATTCCTTGCTTTAGCTAGTATATATATATATCCTCTTAATATATAAACAAGTAAATTTTAATTTAAAATTATTTTTCGTTTAGTTTACCTTTAAATTTCCTGAACATCATTAGATGCAAAAAATATGTTTAGTTAATAACTTGAATTGAGTAACTATATGAGAAAGGAACTAAGACAATGAAGGTTTTTTATTTTTATCTATACGATGGGGCGATTTGTTAGGGATTTTGTACTGGTAATCAAACAGATTATTCTATTTCTAAAAGTTTATAATGAACAGGAAAGGAAAATCATGTAATGTAAAGGTTTGTTTTTTGTTATTTGTGATAGTTCTTCATTCTTTAAAACTTCAAGGGAAATCACTTTTATTGTTTGATTATAACGCATACATGTTGAATTTTTATCCAGTAAACTGATGTTTTTAATATCTGGTTGAACAAACAAGCGCCTCTAAAACGTCTTCATTACATTACGTATTTGCTATGTAAAATCGCCAACTTAACACTTAGCCGATACAAATACATTACACAGGCCTGCGAATTTATACTTCATAAAGGTTGTGTTGGTTTTAATAACGGATTTTCCATAAATCAGCTACGCAGTATTTGAAAATAATATCTTTATTTTCTATCACGTAAGAATTTCTTACGGGAAGAAGAAAACTATTACTTAGATCAAATTATTATTTCGTTTACCACAATGAACATTTTTTATTATAATGTGTGTGTTTCTCGTGGGTTCTAGAACGATCCATAAGACTCTCACGTCGCGATTAGTCCAGAGAAATCTATAGCCTATGGTTGTCAACATTTTAAGCATAACAAAATGTGACCCGATTTCAATGAAAATGATTCACTTATGTAAAAGTACATATGACGTTTTGTGAAAAATCTCTACGTGATGGATAAAAATGAATATCATTTTTGGATTCAGGGTACAGGAAGTACTGTTGAACATGTCAAAATTTCCAGAGAGTAAAACTATCTCAGGCCTGTGTTAGTTGTAACAAACAGTGAATCTTTAATTATATTCAATGTTAAGAACTCCTGACATGCATAAATTTACAGCAGCCTAATGATGTTCTAAAATATATTAAATAACGTCTCTAATTATCACGTGTATACGGTAGTTTGTATTGAGTGGTAAACAGAAAATAAATGGAAAATAACTTAATAACAGGCACATTTTTTCTTATCAGATTTTTTTCTAAAATGTTAGAACTTGCATAATAACTTGTATCACGCACCTTAGAACTAATTAAAGTTTAATTACCGGTATAACAGATAGATATTTGTTACGTTCTGCTTTCCATGCATTAATCAGTGTTTCCGAAGACTTTAATATATGTAGTGATAAGTGTTTTAATTAATAATTAGAAATTACTTTGTTCCATAAAAAATTTTGCATGCTTTGCGTGCTTTCTCTTAAGAACCTCTACTTTACATATAATAAGTATATATTATATATATAATAAGTAGAATGGCATTATCACCGATTTATATTTCACATTGTTATTCTTACTGGAAATAAAACACGAAACTGCTTTTTTTTATTCAACATAGTCAATATTACATCTCAGCTTTGGAGCCACTGCTTATTGAGAATATGAAATTTTAACACGTTATTGTTTATATTTTTGTTAGATACAAGAATGAAATACTGGATTTTAGAGATCACATTGGAGGAGAATATTTCTTTTAGGCCTTTTTAAAAATATTTATTACTTTTTGTTCAAGAGATGTGTAGACTTTAACTGACTTCAGCTCTCTTTTTTTATTTTTCTGGAGCTGGCTGATAGATGAAGGAATAGTAATTACTTAGATAAAAATTGAAGAAAGGTTAGATATACAAGAACACTGAAGTGAAATATATGAGATGAAAAAAAACACCTATAGTTTAATTGCTTCAGTTTAAGGCAGTCCTCTGTTTCATTTTCCTCCATACAATGTAATTTGGACATAGCCTGAAGAGAGCGCTTTCGTCGTTGTAACAGATGTTTTAAAACCACATATATTTGGAATACTTTTCTGATGTGGTAGATTTCAGAAACGTCTGATATTTTCTAAGAATGATATTTTCTTATGATCCAGAGATATGAAGTATCATTTATCACAATCACCTTGCTGTTTAATAATACATCTTAGAAAGATAATTTTATGATTTTAATAAAATGTAATTTGATTAACCTTTTTGATTATAGTAATCTCTAGTGAGAATTTCATTAACTAAAAGGATCTGTAGAACATATTTAAAGTTGGAAGGTTGACAAAATGTTTATACATTTTGTATTCATCTACATTGATTTTAGTACGTATGAAATGTTTAAGCAAACTATTAAAAGAAAGCTTTTCTAATAGGCTGCTATGCTAATACTCATCCATTACTTTTAATATGTGATCAAAAATACCGAGTTTCCTATAGCTACATTGGCTTTATTTTATTGATTACCTGATGATTCTCATAAAAATATTAAAATACGAAAAGATACTTATATCTTCACCATATTTTTATATATTAAACTAACCAGTTGTCAGTTTTGTAATATCGTATATTTCCAAACTCGGTCTATTTAACGCTTATAAATAGAATGTTACATAAGAATTTCTCTAATTTCCAGAATGTCCCCTAAAAGCGCACGATTCGTTACTCTGATCTTGCTTGTTGCCGTAGTATGTACTCTGTTCACAAGAATTCGGGGCCAGCAGTTCTACCCTAATGGACGATACGGACGTCGGGATTCTATGCCTCCACTTTCAGGTGAGTCTCAGTCCTTAAGTTAGTTGCGTGCTTGCCTCATGAAGATATATGAAAACATATCAACTGAAATCCTTGAAGTACGTAAACGCTGTCTTTAAATAAAAAAACAATAATTAATAGTCACATTGAATCATACAACAAAATATTTTTATATCCTATAGAATAATATCTATGAAATTTGATTATTTTTAATTGCTGAAAACTAATATGAGTGCATTAGTATACTCTGATTGTGAAGAGCAAGACACATGACCTTATATCACAGACACCTATTTCTGATCTAGATAATTAAGTTTTAGTTTTATTATGAGTATAACATAAACCGTATGGTTCAATGTTACTAGGATTATACACTAGTATAACATAAAACGGTACGGATCAATCACATTTGGTTTATGTATTAGTGTAATATACAATATACGAAATAATTTTACTGGGTTTGTACACTTGAATATACAAGATACGGATCAGTTTTGCTGCGTTTGTACACTTGAATATACAAGATACGGATCAGTCTTACTAGGTTAATACGTTGGTATATCATACACGGTACGAAACAGTCTTACTTGGTTTATGTATTGGTATATCATACACGGTACGAAACAGTCTTACTAGGATTATACACTAGTATAACATAAAACGGTACGGATCAATCTTATTTGGTTTATGTATTGGTATATCATACACGGTACGAAGCAATCTTACTTGGTTTATGTATTGGTATAACATACACGGTACGAAACAGTGTTACTTGGTTTATGTATTGGTATAATATACACGGTACGAAACAGTTTTACTTGATTTATGTATTGGTATATCATACAAGGTAAAAAACAATCTTACTTGGTTTATGTATTGGTATAACATACACGGTACGAAACAGTCTTACTTGATTTATGTATTGGTATATCATACAAGGTAAAAAACAATCTTACTTGGTTTATGTATTGGTATAACATACAAGGTAAAAATCAATCTTACTTGGTTTATGTATTGGTATATCATACACGGTACGAAACAATCTTACTTGATTTATGTATTGGTATATCATACAAGGTAAAAATCAATCTTACTTGGTTTATGTATTGGTATAACATACAAGGTAAAAAAGTCTTACTTAGTTTATGTATTGGTATATCATACACGGTACGAAACAATCTTACTGGGTTAATATACTGGTATATCCTACACAGTACGGATCAGCCTTAATAGTTTTATACACTAGAATAACATACTAGGTATTGATGATTATGTCTCTCAGTGGTAAGTCTGAAAGCTTATAATGCTATAAACCTGGATTTGATACCTGTGGTGAGCATAGTACAGATAGCCTATTGTGTAGCTTTTTATAGTTAACTTCAAATAGATTGGTTTTATGCACTAGTATATATAATACACACAGTATGGTTTAATCTTGCTAGCTTATGTGCTAGTATAACATACACGATACGGATTAGTTTTACTGAGTATATGTATTAGTATAATACACACAGTATGGTTTTAATCTTACTAGCTTTATGTGCTGGTATAACATACACGATACAGATCAGTTTTACTGAGTTTACGTGCTAGTATAATATATACGACATGGATCAGTTTTACGGGGTTTATGTACTAGTATAATATATACAATACGAATCAGTTTCACTGGGTTTACGTGTTAGTATAATATATACGATACAAATCAGTTTTACTGGGTTTACGTGCTAGTATGACATACGAGGTACATTTCAATTTCACTACGCTGATGTATTTGTATAAACGTTCGACCTACAGGCGCATGCCTGCTGAAGAAAGCGAACAATGCCCGAACTTCTTCAACGCCCCCATTATCCACCACTTGACGCTTACCTATGTAATGGTCAGTAATCATAAAAGGACGCATAAAATTGCAAGAGAACATCTCAAGATATTTCTATGATAGTTCGCATGAACACAGTCTTAAATCTTGGTTTAGGCTAAACTTGGAGAGGTGTAATAAAACTTGTAGGTTTTTAGGGCAATACGTACTTTACTGCACGTCTTCGTTTAAAAGTTATTACATTTTAAAAATTGTACAACTATTTGCAGCTATCTTGTACTTAAAACACATTCAGTCTCACCGGGTATATATGAAGTGGCATAGATTCCATTGCAAGCTTCACTTGTATACATTGTTTTAAGTGACGAGGTGCTTTCTCGTAAAGCATTCAAGTTTCGGTTTAACTTTATATAGTGCTAGAATATTCAGTTAAGTCAACCCTCCCGTGGCCTACAAGAATATCGGACCAAATGGACTGAATATGAAAATGTTGTAGTAAAGACCCAATTATACGTAAACAATGCTATGCTTTTTTATATATACAACAGAATATAAGAAGCTATGTTCTTTTCTGGATGCTTCGCGATACAACTTCCTCTCGTGAAATGGTCATAATCTTCAACTACTACTTGAAAGACGCATATCGTAAATGAGTTTCAGAACTTGTCCATTCTTTCTGCTTCATGGGCGATTCTGTTATTAAAGGCATGTAACATGTGGGTGCTTGGGTTAATTCCCATTTGTAGTCTATATTTTCGTTTACTTTTCTTGCAGACAATTAGTTTGGATTACTAAAGTATCTAAAATTTTCTCTGAAATTACTTATACCAGAGAATTTTCAAAAACAAAGCAAAATACAACTAGTTTTATGTGTATTTGACCAGCAACAGTTACCATTAAATGAGAACACAGTTCTAATACCGTGGCTCTTCCTGACAGTTTCTGTTATAAAAGCTCATTCGCAGTTTAGCAATGATCGTGAGTAGGGATAGTAAAGTCATAAAACGTCACGTAGGCTACTGAACTGTTTTGTCTCACCATACCTAATATTCACTATGATAAGGTAGTTGCATTATTAGTGTACGTTCCCTTAATATACATCCCATACCCGTTGCTCAGTATGGGTTTTAGCGTAAACCTACCTATACTGTACTATACTTAAGTTTGTGTGTGTGTATATACGTAATAACGTCGTAAACTGACTACTAATTCAAAGCAACTATACAGTTTCTGGCCACGGCGTGTTTCTGTAATTTAGACGCTCTGTTGTACTATTGACATCACCTTGTAAAGAAGTCTGTAATATTTTCAGTATGCAAATCTTTGCTTTATCATAAGGATTTGTAAGGAAAATCTACTAAGGCTGTCTGTTGCCGTTCCTAATTGTGAACTACCACCATCTATTCACGCTAAGAGATTGACTGTCACACTTATAACGTATCCACAGCTTAAAGTACACGAAGATTTCGTGATATCACATGAATTTGAACAAGGTTCGCCAGTTCTGAAATCCAGAACTCTACTACAAAGCCAATAAACTCCATTTGCCTTAATAAAACAAAGTATAGCAGAAAAGAGCTTTTAAGTCATGTAAAGATGGGAGTTAGTATCTGTGGGACTAACTTTCTGAAAATAGTGGACATTGGTTTGTAAAAATATGTTATTTACCAACAACAATCCAACTTTACAATTTGACCATTGGAATAATATACGACTCATCCCTACAACCTGCGATTAGTTTAATTTCTTCAGGTTTATTTCACCTACCTGCATAATGTACCAGTATTTTATTCAATCAAGACAACCTGATCTTTGTTATCTCTCCAAGTGTTACTTAACTCGTCCCTATGACCTGTCAGTCTTTCAGTCCCTTTACACCGGCCCGGGCGTGGCCAAGCATTTAGCATGTTGAACTGTAAATATGAAAATCGAAAGTTTGCGTCCCGTTTCCGAAAATAGGGCATAGCACTTTAGCACTGTGGGTGCTTTGTGAGGTCAGTGATCAAAAGCTGTCCACGTGCCCCAGGCAACAATATGGTAAATAATCAAGAAGGATCCACATCTAGAAAAGTGACATGAGTCGCAAGCTGCTTCCACGAATATACAAGAATAACAAGACCAACTGTATAAAACAATATGAACGGTATCTAGCTGGCAGAAAATTTGGTCAATGGTGGAAAAAATAAATACCAAAACTTTTTCGAAAGGCTTTATAATAAACTACTCAACTTTTTCTATAATCAACTATAGCTGCAAGGAACACGTTGTTAACCTATGCGGTCAATTACATTTCTATGCTTCAAAAATCACATTTTTATTGCATACAATAAATTAATATCCAATTATTTCAAAAGTTGTCATATTTATTCGCACGATGTACTAGATTTTTAGAACAACCTTAATGTCTTCTTATTGATATGTTATACAATTATTTTTCGTATTCAACTAATTTCTGACAATGCCATCCTTAACTCCAACCTAATGATTTAGATTTTTGAACTCAAACAAGTTATTTTTGTTTTCAAATTCGATGACGAGGAACCCACTTTGAGACAAATAATGGTTGGAGACGGCTTGAATGGGTAATGAAGAAAAACTTTAATATAAGTTTAACATAACAGCAAATGTACAACGTTTCGACAAGGTTTTGTCATCATCAGGTACAAAACCTTGTC